TCTTCTTACCAAGATTTAGTTAATTTTCTTGAATTGGTGATGATGATGGTGGTGGTGATGATGATGGTGGTGGTGATGGTGATGGTGGTGGTGATGGTGATGATGGTGGTGATGAGATGGTTATGGTGGTAATGCTGGTGATAGTAATGGTGATGGTGATGGTGGTGGTGATGTTTATGCTGGTGGTGGTGATGGTGATGATGGTAGTGATGGTGATATTGACAACGATGATGATGATGGTGCTGATAGCAATTGTTGATAGTGATGGGAGGATAATAATGGTGAGGGTTATAACAGTGATGGTGATGAAGATGATTTTGATAGTGGTATAATTAGAGCATAATCACGAGAGCCCTACCTGCATGGCAGGCACTAGTGTAGGAATCCAGGCACAAAGAAGTTGATGACCTGCCTAAGGTCACTCAGTCACAGTTAAGGCAGGAGTCAGATCTTGGGGTCTCCTCCAACGTCCACAGCCCTGACCACAACACTAGGTGCCTCTCCTCCCTTCTCTTGAGAATGCAAGTTCCTTACACAGAGGAGCCAGGGCTCCAACACAGAGCCCTGCAGGGCAAAGAGAAACCACACCTGTTACCTGGCTCATGGTGGGGGGGGGCAAAGGTCCCATTAATGTTGCTGCAGAAACAGGGTGACCCACAGGAGGCGTTGGCAGTAGATGACCTGGCTATGAGGACAGGAGAGCAGGGACCTTCTGTCAGATCAGTCCCCCTGTAAGGATTGGGGATTACTGCAACATGAGTGGCATGGGGCCTGGCCTCCAGTAAACCATCAGTGGCCCTCCTGTTTTTCCTACTGCCGACCCCCCACTTGTGTGTACTGTGCAGGAGTCACTCCTGTAACCCCCCACTGTACTTCCTGGCCTCAGCCCTCACAAGTTCAGCTGCCAAGTGAGTTGTCCCAGCAGTGCTGAGACTTGTGTCCCTCCAGGTGTCCCAGGACCCTGTGCAGTGCAGAGCACATCTATACATTCTGCTCTAGTAGGGCAGCCCTCCGCCCAGGCTGTTGTGCTCTTAGCTTCTTGGACAGTCATCTTGATCTTGCAGGCTGTAGCCCAGAGGCAGCCAGTGCTAAGAGGCTTGCAGTGTTTTGTCATTAAACAGAAGCAGAGACCCTTGACAGCCAGGCCCCTAACACCTCCTAGTGCCCCCAAGCCATTCTTTGTGCCATAGCCATTCTGAGCCTCCTCTGCTTGCCACCCACTGGGGCTGCCAAGGAATGAAGAGAAAACTCCCTACTGAGGCCCTACGTGGTCCAAGCCCGTTTCCTTCCTTCAGCTCAGCTTCTACCCCCACCCCGCCCGCAGTCCCTTGGCCTCTTTATACTCCCTTATTGGTCCATGCTGATCCCTGGCACTGAGAGCTTCCTCCCATGGATGACACAGAACCCTCTAGAACAGGGACCTCCTGTCAGCATCGAGGTGTACACTGCAGTGTGAGTTAGGCGGGCTGGGCTCTGGCTGCTAGCCTCCCTGATTTCTGTCCAGTTGGCAGCCATGTCTACTACTGTGTTGCCACCACTGCAGGCTGTGGGAAGGGGCCCTGCCTCGGCTGTCCCCTCCTCTTGGAGCACCTCCTTCCCTTCTGCTTGTCCCTCACTGATGGTTCACATCTCAGTGCAGCATTACACCCCTGCTGGAGAACTGTTCCCAACCAGTGCAAACCCTGACATGTACCAGTCCCTCTGGGCCCACAGAGCGGTGGGTCTGTCCTCCTATGAGGCAGGGGCCACATGCATCTTCCAGTCCAGCACAAGGCCTGCTGAGTTAATGGAGAGGAAAGGTGAGCAGGGTAGGGTAGAGTGCAGATTTTCAAATCTAGCCAAACTTGAGCTAGGGAAGAGAAGGAAAGAAATATACTTTTTAAAAAATATATTGCTTTTACTCTGAATTAAAGAATCATGAATGTACAAATTCTGATTTACAACACAGAAAAATACAAGAAAGAAAAACATCCATCAAGTGCCCAGTACAAGGAGAGAGAATATGGACACTCTGATTTCTTTCCTTCCACTGGGCTCATTTTAGATGGATACACATGGACACATACAAGACTGTCACAAAACGGGGATCCCCTTCCACCTGCCTGTTTGTAGCTTGCCTTCTGTAATTTCT